TGGAAGGATTTGAATCTTGAATTTTAATTAATTTGGATTCCAAATTGATTCCAAATTAATTCAAACTAAATTAGGAGATCCAAAGTATGGCAAGTGGAGTGGGGTCGACGGATTTAGCCAAGCATGGCCGGCGGCTAGAGGAGAGATTAGGAGGAAATTAAGGAGGCTTTAATGCTTCCTTAATTTTGGGGGTTGGATTTAGAATGAATTAAGTCATCCTAATTAATTCAAAATACAATGGAGTGAAAATTTGAAAATTTTCCTAAAATAGATTTTATAATTTATGAAAGAATTTGAATTTCAAATTGCGGAAATTTGAATTCAAAGACCAACTAAATTATGGCAATCCAAAATTAGGAATTATCCAAATTAGGCAATGGGGAATGGGAGAGGGTGTGGCTGGCGGTTTGAATGGGGCGGGTAAGGGGCCGACGGCAAGGTGGAGATGGAGATGACGTGATGGTGGAAGTAGGGGGAGGATGAAGATGACGACTAGGAACAACAAGAAGGAACAAAAACAAAAACAAAAGATAAAAGATAAAACCGCGAGCCTTGAACTCTTCCGAGAATTGACGGGTGATACGTTGCCCTTCTCCAAGGGACTTCAAGCCACGAGCCCGGACCCATCCTGCGGCTGGTGGAAACTCCGACTCCCTCCCATAGGGATTTCATTAACGTTCTTCCCAAAGAACACAAGTGCAAAACACAAATTTTTTTATTATAATTCCATCATACCTAATACAAGAGAATGAGCCTCTTATATATATGCCTCAAAAGAAATTAAAAGATACATTTGCCCCTTGAGCTTACATAAGACAAGAGGGTAAAAAAGGGAAATTATAAAATTAAATCAAAATACACTTAATAAACTAAAATAAAACAAAGTGATCTTGGTCGTCGATCTTCAGCTCTTCCTCAGATAGGCATGGACGGTTGGATGTCCGCATCACTTATGGATTATAATTATATTATAAGATTTAAGATTAAATGGGAAGAACCTAAAGGGATATACAATGATCATAAGTCTATTATTAACGTGGGCTATATTCCAGCACTATATGATTGAACCAAACATATAGATGTGGATAGATATTTCATAAAAGATAAATTAGAAACTGTGTTAGTTTATTTCGTATGTTCCATCAGGAAGTTGACTTGCTGATATATTATCGAAGGGCTTTGCAACCCTACGTTTTAAAATATTGTAAGCAAATTTGAAATGATAGATATCTATTATCCAGTTTGAGGGGGAGTGTTGACTGACTGATAATATTGGCTAAATAGGAAGAAATAAGCCACATATTCATGAATTATATTAAGTAATAAATATGCCATAGATCCATGTGCACATAAGAAAGAGGTGGGCCACAGATGCTCCCACCAACTGAAATTGGAAGGCTAAAGTGTTCGAACAATAGTTTTTAATTTTAACATTGTTGTAATTAGTATTTCTCTTTAAAGATTGTATGGTTTGCCTTTATTCTCTAGGTAGTTTTAAATACCCAATGAAGGAATAAACAAATCAAACTTTCTAGCCACTTCCTAATGTGATTTAAAGTATACAACTTAATGGTTTGTGCTTGAGAACTATGAAGTATAATACTTCTAGAGATATATTATAGTGTGCTACGCACATTTTCAAACTCTTAAACACTTCAGAATACTATGCTGAACAAGCTATTTGACATATCTAAATTTTTACTTAAAAAAAAAAAAAAGAATAGAACTTCTTGGACACTTTGTTAGCGTGGACATGGATACATGTTGGATGCACATTATGCCAATCCAACTCAGTTATATATAAAATCTATCTCATTCACAAACATAAACTTCATGTATTTATTTATTTATTTATCAAGTTATTTTGGATTGTCATATGTGTGGCCCATGACAATATTTGTGCTTTATAGATAACAGTTCATGCCTTGCAGCCCTTGTTAATATTTGTTCTTCGTAGTTAATAGTTGGAAGTCTTAAGGTTTAAGAGTTTTTATTGTTAGATTTAATATGAACTTTGTAAAATCATATAGCATGACACACTAAATTTGTTGTTCATAAGCTTATCTCTAAGAACTATTTTAAATTGAGAAGAAATTTGAGAAATAAAATAGAAATAAATTGTGACGCATTTAACTAGAAATTCAGGATTAAAAAAGCTACCTATATGCTTTGATTCACGCACTTATCAATAATAAAATTGTATCAAATTTGATTAAAATCAATTACAAGCTAATAAAAAAATATATAAGAAATTAGGAAAAGAACAATATTCACTAAAAAACAAGCCTCTTACACAATTAGATAAGCTCTAGCAAACAGAATTTAATTATGAAAGTAGAAGGAATCTGCGATCCAATTATAATTTTATTGAAGAAGCAATTAATACTTTTATATTAACAATTTTTCTTGGAATTCCTTGTCCTTTTATAACAATAGAAAAGAAATCATAGAAGAATCATCTTAAAGCTGCTAAACTTTAATAGGAGAGTAGAAAATCCTACTAGAGTTTGATAACAAGGGTGAAAAATTGCTGAAGTCCAATGATAACATAAAAAAGACACAAAGACTACAACAACAACAACAACAACATCAAGCCTTCATCCCACTACGTGAGGTCGGCTACATGAATCCTTTTTCTCCATTGTGTCACATACAAAAGACACAAATACTACAACAACAACAACAACAACAACATCAAGCCTTCATCCCACTACGTGGGGTCAGCTACATGAATCCTTTTTCTCCATTGTGTTCTATTAAAGGTCAAATTCTCATTTAAATCTAATAAAGAAAGGTTATTCCTAATATTTTATAACCAAGTCTTTTTAGGTCTGCCTCTACCTTTCTTAAGATAAGTCAAATCTAATACCTCTACTCTCCTAACCGGGTCATTGGAAGGCCGCCGTTTTATGTGACCAAACCATCTAAGGCGACTCTCTCTAATCTTATCTTGTACTAGAGCTACTCTAACCTTTTCACATATATGCTCATTTCGTATCCTATCTCTAAGGGTAAAGCCACTCATCCACCTGAGCATCCTCATCTTTGCCACACTTAACTTAGTATTATGCTTCTCTTTTAATGACCAACATTCAGCATCATAAAGCATTGCAGGCCTCACTACCATCTTATAGAATTTTCCCTTAAGTTTGAGGGGTAATTTTCTATCACACAACAAGCCTGATGCATTCCTTCACTTCAACCATCCAACTTGAATTCTGCTGATAATATCCCCATCTATTTCACCATCACTCTGAACAATAGATCCAATATATCTAAAACGTGTACTGTTATTAATGACTTGGTCGCCCAAAGTCACAATCCACACAAATAGTGCAAAAAAATACATTTGTATCATCAAATTAGTTTACTCTTAATGTTTAGGTTAGTTGAGGTTGAAAAAATATCTTGAACTATTAGACTCTTTCATGCACCTTTGATCCTCTATAACTGAAATCATTTGGACTTAAGAGGCCTTTGTCTTTGAGGTTTTGAGTGTTTTCGGTGTAGAAATCATAATATTCACTTGTTTGCTTCAACTATAGATTACATTTGATACAAATCTCTTTCATTTGTGTCTCGGAACATTAATGAATCATAGCTTGAAGGGCATGCATTTTCACACAGCTAATGTTTAACATTATCCGAGAGGCCCTTATGATAATGATGGGCTAATTTATTGGTGTGAAATGATATTAGTAAAATATTATTGACATGGATATTGCAAGTACTTGTAAAAGTAGGGCTAGTGAACCGCAATGGCGCAATGTATTCAAATTGCTAAGCCTAATGCAATGTTGAAGGATTATTTTTTGCTTCAATATGCAAAGTGCAAAGCGAAGCGACACTTCTATTAACTAGAGAGTTCATGACTTTTATATCATTTATGTATATATTATATGCATATAAATTGTTAATCAACTAAAATTAAACCACATAGGCAATAATTAAAAATAATATATATATATATATATATATATAATGAAATATTAAATGAAAGTAATTTCTAGCGATTTACAAGTAAAAAAAAAGTTAGAAGACAAATAATAATGTGATGTTGGAATACTTAAAAAAAAAGTCATGAGATTGAGCAACCAACTAGGGAATAGGGATCAAAGGGAGACAATTTGAGGCTAGAGAGAGTGCACATGTGGCATCAAGAAGCATTATTGAGAAGAATCCTATGAGCTAAAAATGGCTAGTGATAGCAGTAAGTGCCAACGAGAGGTGTATAAGAAAACAAGTGGGCAGGAGAGTGTGACGAGAAGAACCACCTAGAAGCGAATAGCTCTGGTAGGATAGAATGGAGAGCCAATAAGCAATTGCTCGATGACTATGAGAAACAATGAGAAGCAAATGTTTGTGCTTAGTTATTGATGTAGATGCTAAACCAAACTATGGAATTTGAACTAGGATATCATTATGATACGAAGAGAGTACAATGATACAATGCAAAGCAGTGAAGCAATGCAAAATGCGCATTTTGTTGCGAGCTTGCATTTTACTGTCAAGTGATCTACAAGGCCAGCACTTTGCTTTGCTTCAATTCACTTCAAAATGTGCTTTTAGGAAATTTGTTTGTCCAGAGCTAACACCTTTAGCACTCAACAAGAACAAATGGAAAAGAGCAATTCTTTGTTGACTGAAATAGTTGCGGTAAGGCTAATGATGATGTTGATGATGATAGGGCACTTGTCATTAAAAATTAGTGTTATTGTGACATTGTCTAAGTGATTCTTGAATGACTTTCCTATTTTTCCCCTGCTGCGAGATTCCTATGAAAACATGTCATCACTCACAAATTTTCTTTTCTTGACGAGCATTATCTTTTTATAATCGTACTATTTAATTCTGCTTTCAATTAGATGTATGCTTTACTTGTTGAACTTGTGTAAGGAGTCCTGCTTCAGTCTGATCTGATAACTATCAAGTTACCTTTTTTTTCAAGGTCTTAATGCTTCTACCTTTTACTATATAATTAGTGATTTTTGCTTGCTCAGAGCCTGAAGCATAACCCGAATGGAAGGTTTGTTGTCGTTTGTGGAGATGGAGAATACATTATATACACTGCATTGGCTTGGAGAAATAGATCCTTTGGACCTGCTTTGGAGTTTGTTTGGTCATCAGATGGGGAATATGCAGCTAGAGAAAGTACATCAAGAGTAAAGATTTTTAGTAAAACTTTCCAGGTCGGTTATTGTTTCTATCTCCAGCAATCGGCTTTAAACTTCAGATTTACAGTATTCCTTTTTATATTTATTATTGAACTTAATTTAATTGCTTGCTCTGAGCTTAGATGCATCATTGTTGATTATGAAATTGTAGTTTTTTCATATTGTTTTTCACCTCCCTTTTCCTATTGTAAACAGTGGAATTCTTATTTATTCCTGATCATTTTCATATTTTCAATTTAACCATACACGTCTTGGTATCATGAACTTCATATGTCCTAGATCGGTTATAACTATTAATGATAGTACACTACGCTATTTTTGTTAGTCATTTCAGTGTGCCGGATAAGATGCGTGCAGTACATTTGTGTATAATTCTTGATGTATCATTTTCATTTATGTATTATTTGGAATATTAGAATGGAAATAAATTTTGAAAACCGTGAATATTTAATATGTCGCAGTTATAAGGAACATATAATTCTCTTTCCTGATCACATTTTGCAATAGAAAACATCTATACTTGCATTAGATATATCAATTATTGACTTTATGTTAGATCGGTCCCTGGACCAGTCTAGCCGGTCCATCATGGACCGGGCTTGGTTTATTAAAGGTGGAACGGGAGTTTCGCCCTGCAGGGGGTCCGCTTCTCTAGCGTGGGGTCCAGCAGCTTCCTTAAGAGGGAATTAAGGTGGGATTTGGGAGGAAAAATTCAAGAAGGGGCTATTTTGGGATTTACTTAATTATTGTATGCTTTAAGTAGGATTTTCCCCTAGGGTTAGGGTTATCTCTGTTTTTGCTAAATTTGGAATGTTTTTAGGGTGTATTGGGCTCTACCCGTTGGCTAGAGAATTAGGAGAGCCGGATTCTCCTGCCCAATTGATGATCCATTGTATCTTATTGTTTTCGTCCCTATTTCATCAATTACAAAATTCTCCTATTATTCTTCTTTGATATGCTTGTTGAATTGATGTGGGAGATTGCTGAAATTAAAATTTAACCAATGTCTAGTTGCTTTCTACAAGCACTTTCTATCAAATTGGTATTAAAATTTAGAAGAGGGCGAAAGGACTTTGCTTCAAATGTGATGAGAGGTATACACCTGGGCATATGTGTAAGGATCAAATTCTTTAGGTTCTCACTGTCTATAATGATGAGGAAGCTGAGGAGGGAGGTGGGAGTAAGGCAGTGGTAGAGGAGGAATTGCATCTAAACACGACAAAGGTCTCCTTGAACTTAGTGGTGGGATTTACACCAAATCACACCATGAAAGTGAAGGGAGAAATAGCAGAGAAGGAGGTGGTGGTGTTGATAGACAGTGGGGCTATCCATAATTTCATCTTCAACTAGGTTGTAGATTAATTGGGGGTGAAACTGATAGACATATAGTACTATGGTGTGATGATGGACACTAGAAAGGTGGAGTATGTAGGGGAGTGATTTTGATTATATGGGGAGTCCATGTGAGGGAGGACTTCGTTTGGAGTTGGGGAGCACTAATGTCATCCTGGGAATGAAATGACTACAAACCTTACGAGATATCAAGGTTAATTGAGGAACACTAGCGATGGAGCTTATGGTGGAGGGAAGAAATGTGGTGATCAAGGGAGATGCATGGTTATCCAAAGCCATGGTGTCTCTTAAAACCATGAAGAGGACCTATAAAAGGTGGGAGAAGGATTTTTGTGGAGCTTTAGAGATTGGAGGTAGTGGGAGACATTTCTCCTTCAGTACACCCCCTTATTCAGCAATTCAACGAGATTTTTCAGCCACCACAGGGATTGCCACCATAGAGGGACTAGGGGCACGCTATCATCTTGAGGCAAGGGTGTCACCTATAAGCGTTCAGCCTTATCGCTGCATTAAGATATAGAAGGATGGGATTGAGAAGCTGATCAGTGAGATGTTGGAGGCAGGAATAATGTGGGCTTCAAAAATTCGACCCCGGCCTCCGCCCGAAACTATTTTATTTTTCTTCAGCTAGGGAGTTTTAATGGATTTAAGTTCCGGGATAAATTTTGGGAAGACAGATGGGTTTATAAATAAGACACTATCTAGAGATTTCGCCCTCATTTTGTGAGGACTTTATGATTTGAGTTCTGGTTTCCTATAGGCGCAAGCCCCTATAGTTAATTACCCCTCCAAATAACGAGAGAGAACTTTCAATTAAGGCTACTCGTCAATCAGATACGTATATCCGTAGATACTTAGTATCAAGCGTATAGTAGCAGCAATGGGCTTGGATTTAGAAATTTGGGAATTTGGAAGATTTGATATTTAAAATTAGAAATTTCACCACCTTGCACTTAAAGCGGATGGTGGGGGAATGGATGATGGACCCGATCAAGATCCCATGGTTCCGTCGTCCCGAGCCATCGTGGTCCCTGGTCTACTTAGTCAGAGGAGGTAGTCGGCCCAACTTGATAGAAGGATCCTTGTCGGCAGCCATGGGTTGTTTCGTCCAAGGGGACCCTGTAGACCTGGGTTGAATGTTTGTCTAAGGGGACAAATTTGAATCCACCTTAGCTATTAGAGGGCTTTGTGCCCTATCGATTATATCCTATTGATTCATATCTCAAGGATTTGATGTCATTAAGGAGCGTATTGGTTCTGGTCATAACCGGTATTTCGTGGTGCCATTTGGCGGCAAAATCACTCGGTTCAAAGGGCCCCGGGTCATAACCATTTATCCTGCGGTGCCATTTGGCAGCAAAACTGCCGGTCAGGGGACACGTACCACGTCTTTACTAGCAGGAGATTGTTTGAGAATGGATCCTAGTGATATTTTTGACTAGGCATTTAGCTCCATGTGAGCTGAAGTAAATTTTAATTTGTTCACCTTGGCAAACTGTTGCAAATGATGGATAAATTTTGCTTTAAGTATTTTGATGGATTTATTTTAATTTTAAATATTTTGGACTTGGATGATTTTGTAGAGTTTTGAAGTTTTAATGGGCATTTGAAAATTTGGGAGGCACTTGAAAGTGTTTGTGAACCCCTCCTATTTGAATTTTGTGGAAGTTTGAGGGCATTTTAAAATGGTTGGAGTTAACCCTTTTGTGTACCTATGTGTATACAAGCTACGGTGCATGTGCAGGGGTATTTTGAAATATTTTAGTTGTGCAGGTAATTGCCATTTGAATGCACACAACATTTCATTTGAGAGCTTATATACGCATTCTCTGCTAATACGAGTGTTACAGATCCGGTGGCGTAGCGTAGCAGCTTCTGAATTGAATTGTTTGTTGCTTTGTACATGTAGACTGTCGTGCACTACTTGCATGGTTTATGCAGGTAGATTGTAGTGCTCTAACGAATCATCTGCCTTTGCATTTGTAAATGCTCGTAGATGGTATGTTAGGTGCACGACCATCATTCATCAGGAGGCTTGCAAGCCTCAATAATCTTATCCAACTAAATATTCTGAACCTGGTTGAACTGAGGTTCATCCCATCTTTGAGATAAGTGGAGGTATATGGATGCTCTTATCATCTTCAGTTTTCCTAGATATCAGAACGGTTTTCTCCCCAAGTGTAGAACAAAGAAGAAATTTTGGAACACCAGGAAGTTTAGTTCGAATTTGCTCAAACATCTCTTCCATTATGCTAGAAGGTGTTCTCTTTCGTACATCAAGTTGTCTTCATACCCGACACACTTTGTAGCATTTTAATCACTGCTGTTGTAGGTGATATCTGCACTAGTGTCCACAAGGGTTCATTGTACTTACAATTATCCACTGTTGTTATCCACAAGTTGCTTGTGTGTATTTACGGGGGAACGTTGTATCCACTACGACCTCTTGGAAATATTCGTAGAAGAGCCATTGTTCCTACATCATATCCACATTTTACCAATCTCAGGTGGTTTGATGTACTTGTTTGCAAGGACGAATTTTCCACTATCAAGTGCTAGTATTGTCATCTCAATCTACAGGCATTGGTAGAGATTGTCGTAGGAGTCTATTACACCTGCATCATGTCCACCTTTCATCAATCTCAGGTGGGTTCGATGATTGCACTAACAAGCCCGTTGTGATTGTGGCGAATTTCCCTTCACCGCGAACAAGTATTCATATCTACAATAGATCTTCTTGCATTTTTTGTATTCCTCCTTCACGCATATTAACCAACGAATAATCACATTCGTCGTACATCTTTACTTGTAGGAGGGCGGGGTATTCAATTATAACCAAATGATATTGATTATAAAAAGACTGCATTTGCTTCAGCCTCTTCGAACACACCTTCACTGTTGGATCATTATATGTTGGGTTCTTTTGTCACTCGTAAATGAGCTGCATTGAACACAACAAGTCCTTTGTAGCTTTGAATTGTCGCTTATAAGTGCATTACCACATTTCCCCAACATTCATGTTGCTCATTACTTATGAGTAGAATGTATAAATAATTTGCTCATCATCATTTGCAAAGATTTGGCACATTAGTGGGTGGTGAAGTGGCATCGAACTAATGCGTCATTCCACTTGTTCATTTGGGCTTGATTCCAATAAAGTTCAAGTTCAAATCAATCACAGTCCCCTGCGGTTTATTATCATTTGCTTAGATTTAAATTCAATTAAGCTTGAGTTCATTTAAGTACAAGCTCAAATCAAATTTTATGTTGTTCATCTGATTTGAGTTCATTTGAGTACAAATCCACAAGTTCTCTTGCATATGATTCAAGTTTATTCTTTGTATATATTTGAGTCTCAGTTCAGCTGCACAAGTCTAAGTGCTCAAGTTCACAGATCCTTATATTCAATCCGGTTTGAGTTCAAAGTACATGTTCAAGTGCTTGTTCAGGATCTTCTGAAGTCCTTGCAAGTTCAATTTCATGTTCACTTGATATGAATTTGGTTCCAGTTTGATTTTATTTTATTTGGGTTTGAGCCTTGATTAATCGTTTTGATTTTGTTCGAGTTCAGGTCCTCAAGTCCACAAGTCTACTGTTCTTTCTCATTTGAGTCCAGGTTCTTGTTCTTTTGAGTTCAAATCAGGTCCGAGTGCGGTCGTATA